GCAGGTTTGTATCACTACGCCATTTTTGTTCACGTTTCACTAAAATAGATGGTGAACAATTCATTAATTATGGCCGGTAAATATGAAATCCTACTTCGCAATGAGCGATGATCTCTAACAAAAATCAGGGTCTTTCTCTAAAAATGTCCAAAATTTAATCTAAAATGGAGACCTAATTGTTTCAAAGAGGTCAATGACCTTATACAGAAAAAGAATATGCACCTTCTTTTCTAAATGATTCAAAAATTGAATGAAACTGATGTTTTCCTAATCTAGATGGAGACCCAATTGTGTCAATGACCTACAAATGATTGTTCCAACTACACCACGAGGCTCAGTTAGATTTGCATGACATGCATCAAGTATTTTGAAGAATAAAAAACTACTGTGTAGCCGTCTGTATTACCTTTGTAACCTTTTTAAGTATTTACCATTCTGTACCCTTAGATGGATTTTGCAGCAGAGTAATAAATTTATTATTATGAAGATAGAATTCTGAATATCTGAATATTAGCTATGCTGGTATTTCAATATTGCTCATGCAACTGCCAATACAAATGAAGTCTGATATATGAAAATAAATATTAAATATAGCTGCATAGCAGCAATGACCGGTTTTCAAGACCATGGCACATGGCCAAGTCACATGCAATGCATGGCCAGGTATGACTGTTTGCAATAGCCCCCAAAATTAACGTTGGTCCCATGTTTGTATATGTGATAGTGTCCAAGATATTATTGCCATGCATATGTAATGAGTTATATGACCATATATAGTCATCAGGTATGTTTGTCAATTCTCTTGTCCAATGACTTCAATATAGCATTGGTTCCATGTTCCTACCTGCATCAGTGCCTAAGATATTAGAGGCATGCATATTTAATGAGTTCTATGACCATATATGGTCATCTCATATGTTGGACAATTCTCTTGTCCAATGTCTTCAGTATAGGTTTGGGTACATGTCCCTATCTTTAAAAGTGCTCGAGATATTATGGATATGCATACTTAATGTGTTCTATGACCATATATGGTAATCGAATATGTTGGTCAATCCTTTTGTCCAATGTCTTCAATATAGTATTGGTTCCATGTTTGTGCTTACAATAGTACTCGAGATATTAGAGACATGCATATTTAATGAGTTGTATGACCATATATGGTCATCGACTGTGTTGGTCAATTATCTTGTCCAAAGTCTTCAATATAGGTTTGGGTACATGTTTCTATCTTTAAAAGTGTTCGAGATATATGGATATGCATATTTAATCAGTTCTATGACCATATATGGTCATCGAATATGTTGGTCAATTCTCTCGTCCTATGTCTTCAATATAGCGTTGATTCCATGTTTGAACTTGCAATAATGCCCGAGATATTAGAGACACGCATATTAATGAGTTATAT